CCCAACTCCCCTAGTAAACTGACTGGGGGTGGGGGGTTGGGGTTACAATATTAAGTCGTACAATATTAAAACTCAGAGAGCAGAGAAGCATACAATGGCAGTGTAATGAGAATTGTGACATGTGCAAAAAGCAAGGTTATTAATAGAATAAAAATTAAAAAATAAAACTGGCAATACAAATATGAAAACTTCCATCCATCCATTAATTAATTTTCTACTGCTTATCCATTACCGGGTCGCGGGGCAGCAGTCGCCACCCAAATCACACTGCATCGTATCTACCCCCCTGAACCTTCCTGTGGGTGGTGAGTCCACTGGAAGGTACCAACTGCCCTTACCATGATTCAGACTTGCCTAGGAGGTGAATGACCAATGACAGAGACATTGCCTCTGGGCCAAAGCACAACAATATGAATACTTATAATAGCATTATTAGTTTTATTTTTATAATTCAAAAGTGTATTTCTCTTTGTCTTGGTTCTTGGTAAATGGGTTTGTATTGTATTTTAATCTTTCCAAATGTCTAGCAGTACTGTGAAGTGAGACTTGCTGCTTTCTGATCTAAAAATAAATATAATTATTAAACAGAAAGTTTAGTGAGGCAGCTGTGTGTGTCCCCAGATGAAAGGCCAACTCCTTCTTAAACGCTACTTCACCGCCGTTACAACCACCAGCGCTATGGTGGCTCCTGCCAAGAACTCTGAGGCTTCATCAAAATCCAAACACATCTCAGCTCAGCTCAGCTCAGCTCAGATTTCAAAAACAGTAGGAGGACCATGTGAGACATTTTCGGGAAAGGATCAAAAAGTCAAAGTAAAAACAGATTTTCCCTGACTGTTTTGAGATTTTTAATAGACACAACAACAACAACTCTGATCCAAAATCACACACATATGTGTCAAAAAGAGAACTGTGTTTCAGTTGTGGACAACAACAATGGAACACAGTATTACACAACAGACTTTCACCTACAGCCTGAGCTCACATGGACAACACACACACAGGCGAATAGACACAGGCGATGGGCTGTTGTTAACATAGTACTGTACCTGAATAAGATTTTTTTTATCTTAGTTGAAGTAAAGCATTTAATTATCTAAAAGTAAATCCATGACTATAACAAGAATATCAGAGACTAAAGAGAAAAGAGAAGGACAAAAGAGGAAGACATTAATCAAGGAAAAGAGAACAAAAGTCATTGGCAGAAATGCTGTCAGCGGCAGCAGTCCATTAACGTGGCATTAAGTTATGTTCTCATACATTCTTTTCGCAAAAGTCTAACAACAAATGCCAGCTAAAACTAGCAAAGCCCATAGAGCTTTGAATTTTAACAACACTTCCTGTCACATGGTTAAAACAGCTCTTCTTTAATCTTTCTATAAAAAACCACATTGTCAATGAAATCAGTCATGGAGACATTATCTATGTGCTACATTGACATCTAATGGTAACATAATGTAAAAGCAACTGCAACTGTTAAAACACGAAGTTAAGCCACAAAAGCTCGAGATTTAACAAAAACCACAATAGATGAATGAATAAATAAATATTTACATCATTATGTTGTATTTATATATCTGTCTCATTTTACCTCAGGCTTTTTTATTTTTGTCATAAATAATAGTGTTTACTATGTCTGCCATTAATAATGAGTTGTTACCATTCTTCTTTGTTAATGCTGAGCAGAGTAAGTTGATCATCATTGTTAATATCACCATCAGTAGCAGAAGCAGCATTATCGTTATTTTGACTTCATCATCAATGTAAGATTCGTATTCGTCGTCACTTTCACCGTCAACAAATTTGATTAATAAACTTTATCATTATTATCCTCAATGTGTTAATCACTACTGCCATCGTCACCATGATCATAACCATCATCACCATTAACTACATCTGAAGTCTCATCGTTGTCACCATCACAACGAACATGTTACATCGCAGTAATATCAATATCTGCCGCTAAGCGGCAGTAATGCTTAATGATACGTCATATTGGCGTTGGGTGGACAAGGAAGTTCACCAACCCCGAAAAAGGAGTACATCCGCTATGACGCGCTTGTCGCTTTCAGTAAATGGCGGAGAAGAGCAGGGTGGACTGTAAACGCTTCCACGGTTATAATTCTACCTGTCTACTTGTGTGTAAAACATGTGCTGGACTGTGTCGGAAAAGCAGAGTGGTTACAAGATGTTTATTTCTACCCTACAGGTGAGCTCAGGCGCTGCGCCGGAACGACAGTCACAGCTGAAGAGGAGCAGAAAAAATAAACGGTACGGAGGAGTTTAACTGTTAGGCGCAATGTGGTTCATATCGTACAAGACCAATAACACTGTTTGATTAATGCTTTATAATGCGATGATTTCTACATTCATCCTGCAAGTTTTAAATCATCTGTTCGGTTTTAGCATGTACATCGTCTGTGACAAGCAAATTTAGACATTTGTCGAAATAAAATTTGAAATGGAATTTTCCAAATCGGTGTCGTTTAAATGGAAAATTACTGAATACCAGACATAATTGACACCGTTACTTATCAAAATGGATGAATGAACTTCAGTATAAAAAACACTTATTTCTAATCTTTTTTTAATATTGTGATATTTTTTACGTAAACCATAAATATAATAACAATAAATAAATACTCCCATCATACAATATGTCGCCCAATTTTCTAAATAACTACTCGTTAATTCCCTACCACTGCTAACCACCACTGTTAAGTTATAGTGCTACTGTTAAGTTATAGTGCTACTGCTCTAACTACTCTTTTTATGTTGCAACTTAGAGTAAAATTAAGTTTAATTAACTTAAATATTGCCTTTTTAGTCAAAAGTATGGAGAATGAGGACGGAGAAAAGGATGCAGATTCTGAAGTGACAGAGCTGCGTCTGAAGGTCGATTCGCTGAAACAGGAACTTAAAGATTGCAGAGCTGAGTTGGTCAAACTGCAGAAGCAGCTGCAGCAGTCTGAGCGACTTCAGAAGAGCACAGAGAGCTACAATGAAGACCTGCGGAAACAGGTTCGTCTTTGGAAAGACAACAGCTGTGAGGGCTGAGATGGTATAGAGTTCTAAATGATTACTCATTTGTCATTTTCTCTTACATAGTTTCATGTATATCGAATTCTTAAAATAATAAATATCCTTTATTAACACATTGTGTCTTATCAATAGTTTTAAGTCCAGTTTATCGCAGAGAGTAATATTGGTTAACAAACTTGTATTTAAATGTTACATCAACTTATTTTTTCTATTTTGTTTTTCAGGTTGATGAGCTGAGCAATGAAATCCATGAACGCAAAAGGAAAGAAAAAGAAAGAGTCACCACTGAGACTCAGACAGAAGAATGTGTTTGGACAGAAACGGGTGTGTTCCATTTACATATTAATATTTTAATTTAATATTTAAGTCTGTTTATTTATTTATTTTTCTCTGATTGATTCTTGTGACATCTGTAATTATTCAAAACCAAAAAGCAGCAAATTTCCAAATTACCTTTCAGATTACTACAATTATTACTATGGAAGTCACTGCGAGAACACAGAGACAGGAGACACTCAGGAACAACAGACAGTGGCAGAAGAAGACGCAGCACAAATAGCAGTTGATGGAGTCAACGGCAGCCAGGCTGTGGAGGTGTCAACACAAAATGACGCAGTAACTGCAGATGAAGCTGCTCAACCTGACAGCAGTGTCACAGACACAGCAGAGGTCAGGTTATATATACATTTTCAATATAAAAGTTATCTACAGGATAAATTGAGATTATTTATTGATTATTGTTTTTTAACGGAGGTGATCTTTCCGCAGGGTGACGCTGGAACCATAGCTGATATGCTGAGGGCCACAGCCGAGGAGGCAATGACACAGACTGGCTTTGTTTTTGACGAGACTACAGGGATGTACTACGATCACAGCACAGGCTTCTACTACGACTCGGTTCGTCAAATACATTTGTGTTACATTAATTCATTCAAAACAGCTCACATAAATCCTAGGACAGACTAAAAGACTGAATATAAGGCTTATTGACCATAGCAGGATGCAGTCTTAGTAAAACCCTCAGTAATGCTGCTTGGTGTGCTGCACACGCTTGGAGTTTCTCTTAGGTCATTTACAACCATCAGCTGGTCTTACACATGTTTTTATTTCTCCCCTCCCTTAGGTCAGTCAGTTGTACTATGATGCCAACACGGGAATGTACTACTACTTTGATGCCGAAAGTGGTCGGTACCAGTTTCATTCCAGGATTGAGGTTACTGCAGCACAGAGTAACACAGAGCTTTACCAGGATAATTCTGCCACTGAAAAGAAGAGCTGGAAGTTCAAGAAAGGTGTTAAAAAGCCATCAAATCAAGATGATAAGGTGAGAATCAACTTTTATTTTGCCTGACGTTGAACTTTTTTATTGTAATATGGCTGATAGGTGGCTTTTGATTAACTGAAAATCCACCTTGTTGGTCTCAGACTTTAAAGACTTGTAGACTTGAGTGTCAGCTGTATCTATTTTAAACTAGTTCACTGATAGACTATTCCTCTAATTCAGGTGCAAGAGGTGACTAGCTCATTGGCTAAAATGAAGATTTGCTCTTACTGGAATTCTGCTTCCCACAGAGGTACATTTATATCATTACTGCCATTCTGACATTTTGTAAAGTTAAGGTATAGCAATACCTCAATATATATTGCGCAATATAATACATATTACACATACATATATCATACATGCTGTTTAACGAAAAACATCGTTATGGACATCACCCCTGCTTGAGAAAGGCGGTCTGGGCAAGATGTTTATGTTTATTATTATTAGGTTATTAAAGGACAATTGGTATTTGAAGTCTGAGATCACCAACAGTGGACAAAGATTCAAATACTACACTGCAAAGCTGGCTGTCTCGCTCTCAGTCCTCTTCGGGAGAAGCGTTAACCACGCCCCTTTTTATTCTCTGATGCCAGGATATAAAGGAGTTCACGTTAAAACAAGAACAAAGTAAGCGGGCCGAGCTGCAACCAGCTAGTCATACGTCAGATTCGCGTAAAACAAAACGAAGATCTCGCAGCAGGGACAGATATCCACGACGCGAGGAGAGTGGCAGGTCTTCATCCAAGAGGAAGAAGAAGCACAGAGATGGTTCACATGACAGTGAGGAGAGATCAAAAAAGAAGAAGAAAAAAAAATCAAAATCAACAAAGAGGAAGAAGAAGAAAAGTCCGTCTTTGAGTGATGACTCTGATGGTAACAGTGAACCAGAAGAGGGTGAGATTACCGATTCTGACAGAGAGGAGTCCACCGCCTCAACTTCATCACCTTCTGCCTCCCTATGCAGGGAAAGTCCAGAAACAGAGCTGGAGACTGAGATTCAGACAGGTGAGAGGAAGGATGAGCTGAATTTTACGACCTCGTCTGGATACACGTAGTCACTATATGTTCCCTATGTGATTTAATAAAGAGTGTAGCAAGACAGCACAACAACTTAGGTTAGAACTATAAAAAGCAGTGCTCTGTGTGGCATGTCTAAGTGGACATTATTAAGTAAGGCTTTGGGTACACTATGTAATCAGAGCCTGAATAAAGAACTCTTGTGTATAGTTCATGTGCAGTTAATGTTGTTTACAGTTTAATTTCTTAGCCATCAGGTCAATATTACTTGTCTTGATAAATGTGGTCCTGTGTCATGCAGCTTGGCCGCCCTGTGTAAGAGTGACAGTGGTCCGGTCTCCAGTGCTGCAAGTAGGCACTCTGTTCATCATCACAGCTGACTCTCAGGCTACTATTGGCAGGTTAGTGTCTTTTTGTCTCCTGCTCCCATTGTTATTGATTATACTGTAAAAATGTAATTTTTCCAACTCAATGGTCAAATTAGCTTTATACTCAGAACATCAGATGCACATTATGTCTAACTACACTGTCCTTGATGAATAGATGTTTTATTGTTAGGAACTGGGAGTTAGGTGTAAGTGGTTTGAGATCCCCTACAGGTGTAATGTATAAAGATAATGGTTATTCTCACAGCATCCAACAATTTTGTTGCAGAGAGAAAGATATGGATCATGCCATTCGAATACCAGAGATGGGAGTCAGCAAGGTACAAGTCTTGTAAAATGTACACCCTTCAGTAGTTCATATAGAACTGAGTCTGTCAGGTAAAACACCTCACATCTGGTTTCAGTTCCATGCAGAGGTTCATTTTGACCAAGAGCAGCAGAGCTACGTGCTTGTGGACCAGGGCAGTCAGAATGGAACAGTCATCAACGGCAATCGCATTTTACAGGTCAACGTGTTCACACAGCTGGTTGTTTAAAGTGAATGTTGACACTGAAGCTAAATGTAAATATTTCTTTCCACAGCCTAAAGCGATATGTGAGCCTCATGTACTGATGCACGGTGATGAAGTGAAGATGGGAGAGACTGTGCTGTCTTTCCACATCCACTCAGGAACTGATACCTGCGATGGATGTGAGCCTGGTCAGGTGATGGCACACATCAGCAAGTACAAGCAAGAGGAGCAGATGGGTGAGGAACCTCCAGGAGAGAAGGAAACAAAATCAGAGAAAGAAGATTTGTAACACAGCAGTGATTTGTGACTTTTCCTGTCTGTTCCTCAAAGGTCCTGCTCTCACTAAAGAACATAAAGAAGCACTGAGACAGAAGGAACTGAAGCAGATAAAGGCCAAATATGGTCTGCAGGTCAGTGGAATTTGGATCGACAACAATCTCAGGAAAATTGTCCATCATTTATGACAAGGTTTTACTAGACGTGATGGTGTCCACTAAAACACATGATACTGGTCCACTGAAACATAATTGTGGACAATAATGGTTAATCTTATTTCACTTCTTAATAAATATGTATGAGTATGAAATACGTGTTAATTAAACATTGCCACTGAGAAGCCGCTCTAGAAAAACAGAAATTATATAAAAAATGAAGCTACTGGAATTTCCCTAGCCTGCAACTTGTCTTCAGTTTAAATGCCCTCCCTCCCCTCATTATTCATTTGTTGTTAAAATCAATATTTAAAAAAAAGGGGGCCTGGGGATATGTAACTCTGCTGTAATCTTTATATGTTTCTGTTTATAGAGTAATGAGTATGAGGAAAACAAACCTCTGAAGAATCCCAAATACAAAGACCGAGCACAGTCTCGCAGACAGACTGTGGGCAGTGAAGGGGTTTTCCAACGAGATGATGCTCCTGCTTCTGTTCACAAGTAGGTTTGTTGTCTTTGAATAAGAGTTAAAAAATATAAAACCTGTTGCTGACTGTACGTTATTGTTATTTCACATAGGGAGATCAGCGAAGTCAATAAAGGACGAAAGATGCTGGAGAAGATGGGCTGGAAAAAGGGAGAGGGACTTGGCAAAGAAGGAACTGGAATGAAAAACCCAGTAAGATCATTTCAGCAGTTGGAGGTGTCTGAAAGGCACGTCTGCTTTTCCATAGAAAGAAATTCAATATTGATACATTTTTCACTTTCCTTCCTGAACAGATTGAACTAAAGATCAGAAAGTCTCAGTCCGGTCTGGGGGCCAGTGCTGCTCTTTCTGTAGAAGCCATTTCAATGACCAAATCTAAGTCTCAGAAGAACTGGGAAAAGGCCAGAGAAAGATTTGCTGACTCATGTCAGCCTGACACGTTGGCAAACAGAACTCAGAACAATTCCTCTAAGACCTGGGTCAAAGCAGATGAGATGGAAAACACAAACACAGAGACTGACAACCAAACATAACTACAGACGTGCTGCAGGTTCTCACTCAGTTAAATAAAGATGTACAGCAGTGTATGAAGTCTGACCTGGTGTTCTCTTACAATTTTTTTATGAGAAAACAAAGTGGTCATTCCCACCTGGTTCGACCTGAAGTAACATTTTTTACATCCTCAAATTTTTGGTGGTTAAGTCGGATCATCTGGACAGATTAGAGAAATAACACTATGGTTAAAGGCCATGTTTGGAGAAGGAATGGAAATGCTCACAATGAAAGAAACACCATTCCCTGTATGAAACATGGAAGTTTTCTTACTGTAACACTGGCCGTCAGACACTATGGACTGAACTGAGGGCCGGTGTCAGAAGATCATCAAATCAAACTCAGACATTTAATGAAGAAAATGAAAAACTACACCTCACTACTGCAGTTTGTCATTTTTTCTTCAATTTCTTCATGGATCAGGGAGTTTGTTTCTGGCATCCAAGTACGTGTTATGTACGTTGTTTGTAAGGTTCCTAATTAAAAATATTTTGCAGTAATACTGTGTCAAGAATCCTTTGCTCCTTATAAAAGCACTTAGGAAAAACACATTGATAACATTGTATGCAATTTTTTTTAGATTAACATCAAGCTGAATATAATTTAGCATAAGGTACGCTGTGTGACTTAATCAGACAGATACAATTTTCATGAAAACAAAAACCATATTTCTCACAATATATTTGAATAATAGGTATAAATAATTAATTTATAATTATTGTAAGTATAAGTTGTTTCTCCAAAAAAACTACTGTTAATATAAAAACCACATAAGCTGAAAACAGTGAAGTATATATACAGTATATATACACACACACACATATATATATATATATCACTGTTTGTGACTGTAATTATACCAAACGCATAAAGTAAATTCACAGCCAGCTGCCCACATTTCCCATATCAGAATTAGCTGAAGTTTGCAAAAGAAATGCACATTTTGAAACTGCTCGAGTATCAGTTTCAAAATGTGCAAAACTCTATTTGTTGTGTAATAACAATATTTCTATGAAAGTGTGCATTAAAGTAGTTGTTGTCTTTTTACAACCTCATCAGTGGGACGTTTCCAGACTAAAAGATGAGGTCACTGACGGAGTAATGTAAAAGCTTTCCACTCTAATCACGTCTTTAAAAAGTACTGACAGCAGATCAGCTGCTGCGCCTCCTAGAGCAAAGAGTACCAAGATCACCTCAGGCAAATATTGACACAGTCAAGCTGTATGTCACACAATGAGATCATACTGTGAAAACGCAAGGCAGAATGTGTTCAAGCAACTGTTTCAAATGATCACAATTTACAGCCTCATTTTTAAACCAATATGACTTCACAAAAACAAAATTATATATATATACTGTGTATATATACACATGCACACACATATTTGGCAAATGCTTACATAAGAACGTTAAGATTTATGTAACGCAATGTTATTGCACCAACACACTCAACTCATGAAGCATTTCATTAAAACTGTGTTAATAGCAGCCCCTGCAGGGGAGAGGGAGAGGAAGGGAGGTTGTGTTTGTAAACAACAGCATAGATTGTTGAATATTTGCAAAGTGTCCACATAAACCTTTCAGGGCATCTCTAACATTTTTTATTTTTCTAGTGCAGCTCTTCTTACTGTGGCATCATCTACCAGTAACCAAACACTGGATTAGTTAAATGGCTCTGTGAATATTTGCATACATTTGCCAAGGGAACAGTTGAACAGAGGCCAGTCTCACACCAAGTGGAGAAAGAATGAAAACACACTGGACTTAGGTTTCACTGACTGGATATGGCAAAGTTTAGGGTCCAATTAGTCTGGACCAGATCAATGTTTAGCTTTTGCACTAAAATCACAAGACATGTTAGAAAATGCACTCACACAGCACTGCTGGTGCGACTCCTGGTGCTGGCTTTTCTGTTGCCCTTCTTCTGACTTATAGTTCCACCCATATTTATCTCCCTTCTTCTTCAGTCCACTGACAAGTTCCTCCAAAGGTACATGTGTATTTCCCCTCAGCCGGGCGTCATGCTCCTTCTGTGGTAGTTCAACTAGTACGCTCTGCTGTCAGATTTCCTCTTCTCTATCAACAGGTAGGTACCTCCCTGCTCATGTCTCCTCCCTCAAACGTCTGCTAGCAAACATTGAACAGCTGATACTGGACTGTAATAAAATAGGCAGGGACCAGCGTTTGTGCACTGTTCTATTGAGTATAAAGTCTTGGCCATAAAAAGATGTTGTGAGTCATGAGATAAAGCTGTATTAGTGTGAGCTAAGAGCTTTGCAGATATCTGACTTGACCGGTTCTTAAAACCCTCAGAGCAATTATAAGAACACTGTGCCACTGTTCTCTAAAAATGTGTTAATAGTGGGGTTTTCTTTCTTTCCAAAGGTACAGTATATGTAATTGATTCTGCACTGCTGCAGGACAGAGTCAGCTGATACAGACACCTACAGGTCAAAAGACGTAATATAACAACATGTCATGTCAAATGGCTTAGAATGTTTTCTAGTTTTTTTCTTGTCTGGTCATGTCGAAGACATTGATTAAAATTAACCAAATAGGAACTAATAGGAATAACTAATTGGAAACTAAGAAATTAAATTAAGTTTATCAGTATTTTTCATTCATTGAGACAATGTGCTTCTCCCTGAGGTGTCGTTTCTCAGAATGTTCCACCAACAAGTGGGGACAAGTTTTTACTTACGGCTTAAGATCAGTTCTGGGACACAGTCTCTCGACATATCTGCAGTTGAGTAATTTCCTTTGACCTCAATTTAACGAGCTGAAGACAAAGAAATGTTTTTAAATTTGAGATAAAAATATACTTAAATACTCTCAGTACATGTACTCTTTTATGATGCCTTGTTTTCAACCCACTGGGGTTTTGATCTGAGACACAGGTCAAAGGTCATCACCTCTCTCATACCACACATATGTGAACCTTGAAACCAGACGTGAAAAAATGTTTGCTGCATCAGTAGATGTCAATGTAGACGTTTCCAATCATTTGGTCATATCTGCATATGTGTACAAAAATATTATAGTACTATACCTGTCCACCATGTTAACAGCAATTACAAAGTAATTTATGTAGCTCTGCTGCTCCTTTTTCTTCATATATCTGCAGGGTGACATATGATAGTGACTTATAAACCTAACCCTGTATGTTTTGGCCAGTGGAGTAGAAAACACACACAAAAACGCAGACTATATACTGTATAAAACTCTTTGATTTAGTTGTTTGATTTGAAAAGTAATAAAATATTTTTTTCATTTGCCTGGTACTGAGTCAAATATGACCTCAGCTATAAAAAGTGAACTCTCGCCCAGGCCTGTGTTTAGTTTGTGTGCAACCACGTATTATAACAGTGGTGGCAGCATCATTATCCATAGTTTCCGTACATGATGCAAGACCTCATTCACCTATTATGGTCTATTATGGTCGAAGGCTGAGTTTCTGCTCTGCTACAGACCACAGGCAGAGGAGCCTGTAATTTTGGACAATGTACCTCAGACGTACAGTTTAGTCGGGAGGACATCACTGTTAAAAGACCGAGCGTTGTCTGATGTAGTTAACTGCTCAAAGCTGAACACAGCTTGTTTGATTTTGAAACAGTGTTTTTATGATTCTTTCAAACTACAGCACAAAAACAGTTATTTTTCTTAGTAATAAAAAATAGTTAGGTAAAAAGGAATATGAATGATTTCTAAAGAAACCCTCATGAAATTGACTGTAAAACTGAGTCCTTCATTGACTTTAAGCAGGGGTTAAAGGTCAAGTGATTGTTATTACCTGCTTTACACAAAGCTCCAGCTTCAAATCTGCGGAGTCTAAAGACCAGCACTTATGCAGAAAGACACCAAAAAGAATGCAGCTCCATGTACACAATAGTCTGACGTCAAAGTACAGACTGTACAGACTGTACTACTAAAACAACCATTTTTAAGAATAGCATCAACTGCAATACTGTTGTTTATGATAATTGTGCTGTTGACGTTCAACTGCAGCAAAAAACAAAACAAATTAGACTTACAGTACAGTCACTTCAAAGATCTCTATCCAGAGAGAACCCAACTTCACATGAGAACACAGCGGACCTCAAAGAATGACCTTGTTTATCTGCTTCATCCACTGCTATAACTTAATGCTGTTCACGAAGAACATTGAAATAAAATAAAGGGTTTCCTTCAGCCTTACCTCACATTGATTATATTGATTAAATACCTTCTTCTGCCTGCCCACTGAAATAAATAATGGGAAGTCTGATCTTGATTAACACACATTGATACGAGTACACACACTTCCTTCTCAGTCGTCGCTTGCCTCAGCCACATATTAGCAACTAAATACAACCTAAGAAGAAACCAGAACAGGATTCTCAGGCTGTAAACACAACATTTTACTATTTTTAAAACTCATCTCCTAAAATAGTTCAACATATAAATGAAAAGAGAGTCCAGGAAGTGGACAATTAACTGCCTCCAAGTAGTTCAAAGGTCACAGATCCGACTGGATCTTTTTGGGCTGAAAGGAAGTTGTTCTCATTCCCTCTACATTCCAAGGGGAACATGTTCTGAATGTTTTGTATTAAACCCCTTTGTTAAAGAAGGGGGAGACAGGGGAGTGGTTGATTTTTACTTCTCACAACAATATTATCTACAAAGGACTGTTTGTTTGGGTGGATTTTCCCATGCCTGGCTGAACGGCACGACATTCCGTCAGGCAGGGAAAATATTCTTCACGTGTCACACTAAATAGAAATTCCACTGAAACTTGGTCCTGGTGGAGTGACTCAGTCAAAGTCACTGATGAATGTCTTCCACCCATGACTTTTCCTGCTCAGGGTTCCGAGCCTCTGGGTGTGTCTCCCTCTGACCTCATCTTCCTAGAAAATCCTAGGAATAGCGCCGACAGCCCACTCGCCCACATGATGTAGTCTCTGTGCGACATGTCCACAATAACATGGGTCCTAGTTTTTTTTTTTTAGGAGAAGATATCTCATTTGGATTGTTACACCGACAGCAATGACAGCATCGCTGACGGCTCCTGAGCCTGTTCATTCATCCAGACCGTGCGTGTGTAAGGACATCCTGTTTGTACAGCCTGCTGTGGAACTTATGGGTCATTGTCAAGCTTCACAATCTGTTCAACGACCAAATGTATTACTTTTCTCTAAGTCAAAATATCCCAAAGAAGTCTGGACTGGATCTGAGATACTGGACCGGATATTGAATACTTTGACTTTTGAATTAAAACCTCACTGAACATAACAGTTTCAGAGACAAACATCACTGTTCTAACGCCACAATGATCTGGTTGCCTGATACAGGAGAGGACAATAGCTCCTGCACAGTAGGCAAAAGTTTTCAACACCAGACTCAGCGCATGCATAGGGTCAGCTGACATCCTGTCAGAGAGTCAGCAAATCAATACTTAACACTTCACACAATGAAGCAGAGAAGACCTACAGTGCAGTCTAGTCTAAAGTGTCAGTAACTATGTGTTTGACTAGCAGACACTTGAGTGGTAATCATACCTTGTCTTGTCCGAGGACGGAGGAAGGTGTGACTGCTCTGCTCTGACGTCCTTGTCCTTCACAGCAGATGGAAAAGTCCTCAGTCAGTGACGCGGGTCCTGAATGGAGCCAGTGTTGGACTGATGGTCGGACTCACGGTCTGTGAGTGAAGAGTGAAGTTTGTTCCCTCTGTACAGTGGAGTTCAGCCCATGTGGCTGGATGGGAAAAGGGAAATGAGCTGTGTGGGCAGAGAGCCAGGAGCAGAGTGGGTTTTAAAGACACAGCAGTTTCAGTCACTCATTTCTGTTGTTTATTTTAACTTGAAGTAGTCTGTGTTTTTGGGAATAGTGTATTTTTGTTACACTATTCCCAAAAACACAAACCAAGGGTTAAAAAAAACAACTTAACAAACACAAGAATGGTGAGACAATGGTAGGGAAATACACAATAAAAAATTAACTTTACAGATAATGTAAATGAGCATCTTTTTTTTTTTTTTTTTTTTTTTTTAGGTTTCATCATAAAATCGAACAGTCAACAATGGAAAGAACTGAAATGAGCTTTCTGCAATAATTGTAAAACTGTTTAAGATGTTATCATTAATCATTCAATTAAAACTATGTTATGTATTTTTTTATTTATTTAAGCACCACTCTGCCACGTCATATCCCACACGATATACAGTAAGCTACATACTAATAGCAGAAAACACTTAAATACTCAAAATCAAAGATCCGATGATTATTTTAGTTTTTATTGGATAATTAGGTTGTATGTACATGCAATATCTGAAGTTTGTAGTAGTCTGAAGTGTTTCTGTACCTTTGTTAACATCTTTGTTAATAACTATAGAGTGTACGTCAAAAAGTTAGCCTTACCATGTCAATGGCACTAGACATCCATGTCTGGTCTGTCGTCGCCCTCTAGTGTTTCAATCGAAAGATGCAACAGGAACCTCTAAAGAAATTTAACACAATGAAAAACTGCAACAACAAAATTAAGAAAAATATTCCCCGTAATCAAATTTTGTTGCCTTTACCAACTGACCCTGGTCCGAACTTATTTTTTCTCAACATTGTTACACATTGTTATTGTTATTAATAATAACTAAACTTATTTTTGACTTGTAATAAGTTAATTCTAAACCTATATTTTGGTTTTTACCTTATCTTAGCTTTAGTTTTTAGCTTAGAATTGTGTTAAATGTTTTTAAGTCAAGTTGAAGTCAAAAGATGACTAAATTAGGTCATTTAAGACTCATTTATAAAAGTAAATTGAAATTCTTAATTTAGAGTCAGTTCTGACTTAAATTTCAGAATTAATAAAATTAAGTCATTGCTCTAAAAAGTTAAGATAAGTTATTTAATAAAATAAGTCTTTTTTACACACACACAAACACAGCTCTTATTGAACTTAAGTCCATTTGTAAGCTGGGCTGATTATAAAAATGTCCTTCCATGTTCTGAAGTATAATACTGCGATAAGGTGTCACTTTATCACCATATAGTACTAGCGGGAAATGATGACCTCACCTCATGGACCCCAGGGATAGGAAATCTGATCACTATAATGACATTGTAGTATTGACTCATCAGCACATACAACACAACAGTGAGCATTGTTGGCTGGAGGCTGTGCAGCTGTCATGGCCACCAGGCTCAGTCAAAACATAACTGACACTGAAGAGCTGCAGTTTCTGTCTTAACCTGAGGTGACATCACCGGTGTTGTCTTCATCACTGATTTGTCATTGACCAGGACAGTGGAGTCTATACACAGAAACAGCTTTGTTGTTTCAGTGACGGACAGATGTGAAAAAAGAGGCGTTGTCTAATACTGATTTCATATATTAACACTAGGATAAATAATGCAATCTGAGGAGTGTTGTTCATAATTCCATTAAGGCACATGTGTTAAACTCAGGCCCGGGGAATAAATTTGGGCCGCAGTGTAACTATACTTGGCCTGCGAGATCATATCAAATGTGTACTAAAGTTGGCCCATCAGAATATAACCCCTATATACTGGCAGGATTTGTAGTATTAGCAATGTACGAGCTATTTTATAGCACAAACAATAATAAGAAACAATAAATATTAAGTTTGGCCTACGACTTTGTTCAAGTTTTTCATTATGGCCCTCTGTGAATTCAAGTGTGACACCCCTACATTAAGGTTATAGACAACAGGGAAACCTACAACAGCATACCTACATTCAGGCCTAATGATACTCTGAGTGCTGCATCAGTAACAACAAAAAATATGAACGGGTTTTTTCTTAGGGAAATGTGGAATGGGGGAGTTTGGGCCGCTGGTGATGATGATAATGTTACGTCACTTGCAGTGCAGCCAGACACCACCAGCAGCAGCAGCAGTAGCATCAGCATCACAGTTCAGCTCTGAGGAGGAAACGCACAAACCCCCATCTGGCCATATTGTGCAGCGGCTTTTCCGCAAATCGACTGCGTCACACACACACACACACACACACATACATACGAACATACGCGCACACATACACAGAGACAGCACCTCAGACGGAAGGCAAAGATTTAAGGTGACTGACTGCTGAGCGGGTGAGTGAAAAGCTGGACTGCAGTAAAACCTTTTCTCACCGTGATGATACATATGCTTTTGTGTTATGATGTCAAATCTCTGCTGCTGCGCGTCTTCCTCCTGCGCCTTTTTGTTTGGTAACGGGCTTCTCCGTGGGCCACAGTGCGCATCACAGCACCTGTGTTAGCTTTACGGGCATCATACATGATGGTGATGGCGATGATGGTGATGATGATGATGGTGGAGGTGGTGGTTTTTCACTGATGTCTTTTGTTGGGGGATCTGTGAAGGATCACAAGATGATAGTGGTGAGGACAACAATTGGTCACAGATCTCATTAGTGTCTGCCTTTTCTCCCCCGTCCTCCCCCAGGTTTGGCGTCTTGCATTGGGAAAAATGGTCAAACTGGGGAATAATTTCAGCGAGAAAACCAACGGGAAGGTGGTTTGTGAAGATGGATTTGACACCATTCCACTGATCACACCGTTAGATGCCAGTCAGCTGCAGTTCCCTCCACCAGATAAGGTAAGGGATACCGGGCGAGTGGTTGGACATTTTTCTCATATTGTACATACAGCCACAGTGGTTTATGAGGTTGTGTAACTACGATTAGTCGACCTTTTTTGTTGTTGAAATAAGCAGATGTATATATGTATATGTATATATATATATGTTGTTGTTTGGATACATTCACATAATAATCAATAAGTAATAATCACAGCCTTATACAGTTTTTTTATTTAATTACAGTTTTAGACTGTACTTCATATTTTGATCAATTATCTTTATTCATTTTTATAAAACCATTTTTGTTAAATGACACCAAGGAAAAAGATAATGGCGATTGAGAAAAAAATGCCTATAGGAGCCAGCCCCTGCTGGCCAAGTGTAGTACTGTTCAAACAAACATGATCCCAGTTTGCAAATATGATTACCTGGATTAACCCCATGTACACATGGTGAGAAAAATCAAACAATCTCAAATGCAAAGCCTTTGTTCAATATGAATCATTGGTTATTTACTGTTGTTCTGTGCGGCACCAGTACTAGCGATGATGTCACTTTGCAGCATTATGCAACTTTTTTCCTGATTTTAATTGATTTTCTGTAGCTCATAAGCCATTTTCAGCAGATCCAGCTGATTGTTGATGGAACATTTTCTCCTATGTGTGTTGTTATAGGTGGTGGTGAAAACAAAGGCAGACTATGAAGGTGAGAGCAAGAAAGCCAAGTTACGGTCTCCAAAAATTGCGGAGTTCTCCATCAGCATCATCGAAGGCGTATCTGAGCGACTCAAAGTAAGAAGAATGTCTGTGCCTCAGCCACTTTCTCATGCATCATCACATTTTCTAATATCAGGCAACACTCCCACACACACAGAAGCCACTGTGCTGACATTTCTCTGCTGTCACAATCCTACCTCCGCTTTCTACATTACACTCCCGTGTGGCTCCTCCACTGCTGTCCTGCCTGTCATCTCACAGGGCAGCACAGGCAAACGACATCACAATGATTCACTTAACCCTGCCCTCACACTCTCATTAATTCAGCTGCTGCCATGGCAATGGCCTCCAAATGGCAACGTCTCTTCAGACTCTTTCAAGCCTTTCTGATCTCCCATGCAGCAGAGGTGGTCAGCTCTTTCCCACCTTCAAGTAATAATAGCAAAACATCATCATGGTAGGTCCATTTTAACAGTTTGGTACCAAACAAAAGCCAAACGTACTGAGAAAATCACAAATAGCGTGCTGTACCTCACTGTACTGGGGAATATTCAAAGTCGCCTTTGCATTCAAACAAAAACATTTATATTTTTCCACAACAGATTTCAGACTGACCTTAACAGGTGTTTCCTTGATGTTCCCTTCAGCATTAGAGTTTGATTGTAGTTTTCTGTCATTGTATTTCTGCTCAGTTCCTAGAAGATATCTTTAAATTGTACAGATGTGAAAATTAAGATAACAATTATCCCAACAATCATAACTGTTACGACAAAAACAATAACAACAAAAAAAAGTCACTTTCTGTAAGCATTGCATCATAGATTATTATTATTTTTAAGGCCTTACCTAACATGAGAACTGACATCTTTGACAATAATAAGACATGCTGTCTTATCCACCGCCTGCTTTCCAGAAACACCAGTAGCGGTTACATAATTCTCCTGGGAGTAGAGAGCAGGGCAACACAGATGGTCACACAAGCCGCTCCCCTCTGGAGGTGCTGAATATTCTGCAGCCTGACTTATCACTATTTCACACTCTCACAGTATTGTTTGTTTGTAAGCAAGTGTTCCAAAGCGTTTGTTTAACCTGCAAGTCAATTAATCAGATCTTATATTAGATAACATATTAACTGATGAACTATATTAATTTTTGGTTTCATTTGTGATAGCAAAGATCCTTCCTGGTTCTGTACGTTCATTTTCATTTTGATGATGAGTTTATAGCCATTTAAGAACTGCACGGTATTTAGAACTTATCACTAGAGGGAGACATTGAACGAACATGCCAGTGTGTTTATTTTCTGACAGAATGACAGCTTTAACCTGTCAGCTGGCTAGATTTAAATATTGTATTTTCAGAATTTTCAGAAAAGTGAATTACTCATCATTGTGACACAGCACACAACAAAATGTAACCTATGCTTTTAACCCATCACCAAAGTGAGCAGGGGGCAGCTGAAGCGCCTGTGGAGTGTGTGGGGACGGTGCCACGCTCAGTCCACCTCAGTGGCAACTTGGCAGCCGGTGGATTGTTTTGGTTTTCCAAACCAAACCCTTGTTTTCTTTTATGAGTTGGATTTGAACATGTCTTATTACTGCAGCTTCCTAGATATAAACTGCAGTGTCAACACCTGTGTATACCCTAGGTGACCTTGCTGGTGATCTGCGCCCTGGCCTTTCTGGTTTGCGTGGTGTTCCTGGTTGTCTACAAGGTCTACCAGTACGAGCAGCCCTGTCCTGACAGCTTTGTCTACACGGTAAATCTTTAGATTCGTCCACATTTTTACAATTTTTTTCCCTCTGTGTAGTGTTACATTTTATTTGATTTTAACCTCCGACAAATGCAGCACATCTTTTTTTCTGAGGAAAAATATAACTGAAACAAACTTTCAGAAATAATTCTTATGAATTTAAGTTGAATTTCTTTTTTTAAAATATATTTTTAACAGTACATTGATGCTTACAGCTGTTTGTTTTCATTATGCTGTCTGGTCAACTTAACAATTTGTGTTGGGTTGAATACAAGACCATTAGAGAAAGACTGGTAGACTCTCTATACCCTCCACCCCCAATACACTGACTGCAGTGGCACCACATACCATCACAGATGGCTGGTGGCTTGATACTGATTTACACACATTTTGTTAATTACAGCCCAGATGGTCATCTTCATCTTTGGTACAATGAAAGCTCATCAAAACATGGAACACTTTGTTAGAGGGGCTGAGCTCTTAATAACAACCACAGCCTTAATACAAACCTTTGCTGTAGCGTGTTTGACAAGAAAGAAAAAAAAGGACATTTTTTAAATGATCACTACAGTTTCTTACCTTGTGACTTATTATTTGTGAACCTATTAACATTAGAGTCTAAGTGGTATTTTAAGTCAAATCTAACCTTTTGTCCTTTGAACAGCAAGGGCGCTGCATGCCTGCTGGCATGTACGACAACTACCCCCCTCAGGGACCTGGGGGCCGTGGGCGTCTCTTTACCCTCATTAACCACTACAACATGGCCAAGCAGACCATCACGCGCTCCGTATCGCCATGGATGACCATCATGTCCGAGGAAAAGGTTACCCAGCAAGAGATGGAGACGGCACAGAAGCTGGCTTAAGCGATCTGGGGGCTGAGGAGGCGGCCTGTGCTGCTGCGGAAAAGAAAATAAATAATATGGTTGTGCCATTCAAGCAAACCTTAGAGTCCAGTGGCTTTAAGGGAAGGGGAAAAAACAGCTTCTCTTTCCTGAGGTGCAGTGCTGTGTTGTTGATGTTAATGTGGTCAGCTGACGTGTACTGTCGCAGGAAATGTGTGGAAATTTAAACATGTTTTTCAGCCGACTGGGGCTTTCAGTCTGGTGGATTCGTGGTTTGTTTGAATAGCACGTGTTATTATTTATTTACACTTTACAGAACATAGTGGCAAATGAGTAGAAAAAAGCCCCAAACACACACACACACTTGCTATCTTTGTACATAAACATGTGTAAGAAAAGTTACTTTAGTACTCTGATTGTAAAACGACTGTGAACCATCCTGTGTCTGCGTCGCTTGTCTTCACCCACATGCACGCATGACTCTAATAATAATATTAACAATATTGACAACACAATTTGACACCTTTTCATTTCAAGAACGTTGGTTTCTGACCGTGCATGTCTGACAGCTTGAAGTCCAGGAGTTCGTGGCCCTATTGTTGCACAGGTCACAGTTATTACAACACCGTACTGAACATTATAAACAAGGGTTGAACGAAAGAAACATTTTAACCAGCAACAAAATATGTATTTGAATTGTGTTTCTTTGATTCAGTCCTTAGTGCTCTCTGCATACAGTGCTGTTACAGAGTTTACTGTTCTTTAGTGTCTTTAACCAGCATCAATGATTACAGTACCTCCATTCATTTAAATCTTTGTGCAAACAATGTGAAATTCTTCTTTTGCTGGCTTCACCTAGTGGTTCCTTTTCAGAGCAAAAAATTCTATTGGCCTTTATTGAATGTTTTTGCATTGCTAGTGAAGACACTGTATTGTGCAATGCTTCGCAATGACCCAGGTCACAATGATGGCTGCTGTAGCCGGTGCAGATGCTAGACTTACGTAGGTAGATGTAGTGGAACAAAAACTGACAGTAGTTGCTTGTCCTGTTGCCTTTTTTCTGTATTTGTTATTTGACTCACACCGTCACCAATTATGTACCTTTTTCAGACAATGTAACTGTTACCATTAAAGTGCATTTGCTACATGAAAACAGTAAGATAAAATAAAGTGCCCACATTTCACACTAATGTTTGATGGTGTTTGTACATGCTGATATATATATATATATATATGTAGAGAGAGAGAGAGAGAGAGAGGAGCGACAAATGAATAAAGATAAACATCATGTTATTATCACATAAGCTGTATGAAAAAAAAAATGGAAAAAGGAAATGTGACAGGAAAGTGAACTCCTTGTCATTGTGACACACATCACTGCAAACCACGAAATGTGACCTCCGCATTTAAGCCATCACCAAAGTGAACAGTGTTTTTGAGCACCCGGGGAGCAGTGTGTGGGGACGGTGCCATGCTCAGAGCACCTCAGTGGTAACTTGGCGGGTGGTGGATTCAAACCTGCAACCTTCCAGAGCCAAGTCCTTAACCACTAAGCTACACTGGCCTGTGCAGGGTGGTGTGTGTGTGAACTCAATACGTCATCACCTTTTTTCTTTTCTTTTTTTTTACTTCGGCTGAGCAAAATGTCTTTCTGAGCTTGGCTCCCACTGTTAAAAATTGAGACAAATATGAAAAGTATTAATTAACATTATATATTATAACTTGAGGATTTTTAAGACAGGATTTAATTATAGACATTTTGTGCCTAGTCTATCAGTACAATGAGTTGTGATGGATTTAAAAAAAAAAAAGCAAAACACTTGTAGTGGTTTTAACAGTGGAGATAAATTAGGATAAATTAAGTATGTCCTCAGTGGACACAATACACAGAAACAGTGGGGCTTTATTTCAGTCGTAAGTCTGAGGACAAATTATTAGATATAAGAAGTGTTCTTTTTTAAGTATGCTTGCTTTTATGCAAAAGAGTTGACTCTCGGAAGATTGTTCCTCACCAAATTTAAAGTATGTTTCAGGGGTTTTTTTCCAAACTCATCCTTAGCATCTATATTGTCCTTGTTTCAGTGTGGTGAAGGAGCTGTTCTTTGGGTGATATGCCTTTGGATAACAACATGGATAAAATCTGTGATATTAAAGAGTTAAAGATTGTCCTAAGTGACCTTAGAACATGTTTCTAGTATTTGAATTCAGTCCGGAAGAAGCCGATTATAGTTTATTCTTGTGCAGGAGATGAGGAAATGTCACTGATGTCTTAGAAAGTTATTGCAGGGCCTTCGAAGACATCTCCTACCAGTTCTTTGAGGTGTATCAGAAAGATAAAACTCAATTTTAACCTCTATTCATGGGGAGGGAGTAACATGACCAAAACCAACATCAGTTTTTCTTGCCGTGTCTTAATAAACTGTTGTGTCTGTGACCTTCAAATTTTTCCGTTGTGAATGTGCAGCCAAAATAAGTCAAAGATAAAACAAGTCTAATGATCAAAAATGCTGTCTAAAAAACTGCGTGTATAGAAATTCCTGCTCTGTATTAAGGCATACTTGTAGGTTAAAATAGATTGAGCAAATTATTATTATAATTATTATCATTTTCCTTACTGGCAGAGAAAGATAGACTGTCCAATCACACACTTTAACTGATGATACTGGGGTTTTTTTTTAGGAGCCTGTGTTTAACAACACAGGATAAAGATGAAATACTGAGGGTTTGACTTATTGAAGAACAAGCTCTCGTGTCCTCTTGAAACCAGAATCTCCATGAAGAAACACTCGTCTTCATCATGCAAAGCTGAGAGATTGTTCTTAGCACAGTTATTACTACTGACATCATGACAATGTGCCGGAAGGATGGTGATTGGGTCGCCATTACAAGCTTTGAGTCCACACTGTTTGCAGTGTTAGCTGTCGTACCAGTCCAGAAAGAGCAGAGAGAAAGAGCACATGACAAGGAAGAAGAGGATCCACACTCGGAAGCCTGCGTTGTTTTTGATCGCCTCGAGAGAAAAAAAAAACATTTTGCATTTTAGATTTTTTGACAAAAGAACACACTTATTTTCTGACCGCCACATTCATCATTCCTTAGTTGTACCTCGCGAATGTCTTCATTTCCTTCTTTCACGTTCTCTGTAGCCCCCACCACCAGCTGATGGATGCTGTTTATCTCCGATTCCTGTCAGTGACAGTGTTATTCTTCATGTTCTGTGTACAACTGTGACCATGACGATGTTGAAACGTTTCAGAAGACACTTCAGAAGACAACTCACCTGCTGGAGAACTTTCTCAGCAAAGATCTCCTGAAGTCGTGAGATCTCCACCACCTTCCCCTCAATTTGTCTTAAAGACAAACAGAAAACAGAGGTGGCATCAGTGTTTAAGGGTGCATTAATGTAGTTTTTGTGTTATTTTCACACTCACATTTGTCCCATTTACTGCCTTGATTAACATCTCTTTGAAAGCATTTGATAGATGCTCCTTTTATTCATTTCAAATGTATTACATTCCATCAATAGTTTTAAGATATACTAATCTTAACCATATAACAGAAAAAAACATTAAAAACATTTTTTAGGTGTGTTTATTGTCAAAGATGTTTAGAAGAAGATGAACTCACCTCACTTCATCCACCAGGCTGTTCATTTCACTCACCAGTTTCTGGTTTTCCTGCTCAAACTAGACAAAGAAATGTGACATCTGTGACAGACTATAATAATAACAATGGAGAGAATTCTGTCATCTTATCACACATAAATAATAATGCAGGCTGCATTAATTAATTAATGCCTTCTTTTAGAAATTATTAAATAATTAAAAATATTGGGTTGAATTTTTAAAGCCACAGCACTTTACCTTCTTGCTATATTCTGGTTCATCTTGGTTTAGTTCAGTCAACTATTTATTTTTCATATTTTGTTTTGACATTATTCTCTTTTATTATCCCAATTTGGACTGCTTGGCAAGAAATGGACAGAAATGTATGAAAATAAATTGCCTTACATAGGAAATTACATGACATGACCTAAGGGTTGTATGTATATAGTGGTTTGTGATTGGATTACTGCGTGAGACATAACATATACAAGTAATTAATACATCCTAGGTTCAAGTGATTCTATTTTTCAGTCTGATGTACTGACATAACCAGTTTATAATGCATTTAAATATCACCCAGGACTCGCTCCACATTCATTATTACATGCTGTAAACCATGAATATTAATTGGTGTTGAGTCACTGCACCATCTGGATCTCCTCAGGTGAGAGCTCGTCCTCCACTCCTCCCTCTTCCCACAGATGCTCCGCGGTGTTGTCAGGAACGTCTGACACATTTTTCTCTATAAGACCAAAAACAAGTGAGAAACAAATCTCAGCCACACTGCTTATTATCAAGGGTTAAATATACAATAACTAATAATATAAATCCTGTTTACACCTTAGACATACCAGAACTTTCCTCTTTGACAGTTTTCTCTTCTGCGGGCTCTACTTCCCGTTGTTTTTCCACTCGCTTGTGGTGTTCAGGTGTCAGTCTTGATCTAAAGTCACAAAAGTGTTATCAGGTTATTACCTAAATTTAAAATACGGTTAATAAAAAACGTGCTAGGATTGAAATATTGAAAATGCTCACAATCTCTTCTTGTCCACCATTCTTTTCACTCTGATTGCTCTCTGCTCAGAATACAGTTTACACACCCCTGGACAAGGACATGAGAAATGAAAAACACAAAAACTAACTGACATTGTATTTGTTAATCAAAGCTCTTTGACATCCTTACCCTTCAGATATGACCCAATCAGGTCCAGAACTACCCCTCTGTGCTCCTTTATCTGGGCTGATGTCACTTTTTTCTCAGCTGCACAAACCAACAGAAAAGACACACCACTGTTAATATTTTGTATTACATTTAATTTAGTGCATCGTATGTTTTGAACACAAACCTTCATTACGTAGCTGCTTGATGGCTTCAGAACATGTCCTCATGAAGATCTGAGCATCCTGGTCGATCTGATCTCGTTCACTGTCTGTCATACGAGTGAGATCCGAGGAGATGAGACTGAGGAATACATGACAATGTTTGGACATAAAATAGTGGCTTTTACAGTGACACTAATCTACTTCCTTACTTTTTTGTATTCTGATGAATAGAACTCTAATTCAGGAAGACGTTGGAGAGACACTACAAGTCCTATAGTGAACCAGGTAGAAGGACTAATCACCTGACTCAAAAAACACATTTGTATTCAAAACTAATAGAGAAAAAATGCCGTCAAGAGCTTTTTTTGTTTTCATCACATGCCTGCAGTTCATACCTAAGTTTTTCCTACTCGATGTGGCCCTCTAGTGGTCGTCTTAGACACTTTAATGCTTCTCAACAAAAGATGTGAAGTATTTAGAAAAATATAAAACACAAAAAGAAGTTGGCATAAATTTGTCCACATTTCCCAGTAATTAAAATTTAAATTAACTTGTTGCAAAATCTATGGCCTATAAATAATCTGTTTAATAATTTTGACTTAATTATGATAAGACAACAACAAAACAAAAGCTGAATGTAGAGGAGACCAGCTCTGGCAACTTGGTGGATTTTCCCAGCACTTAATAGCATATATTCCACCCTATCAACATTGCTGATGTTTAGTTTATGTGCTCTGGTTGAGACTTTATCAACAGATCAAAAAAAAAAAAACAACAACACACTGGCTTCTCCACACACTCACGTCAACAATACACAGAGGAGGCCTTGGAAGGAGGAAAGCCTTGATTAGTCCCAGGGTGTGATTTGCTCTCCACTCCACTGCAATTATTCCAGACAATTAGATTGGAGCCTGCCCCTACAGACCACCCTACTAGCTGCTGACCTTCTGCCAGCATCAAATCCTGCCACACACACGCACACACACACTACAGAAATATTTGAAAGCCAACTTGAATAAAACCTTTCTTGTGACCTAAATTCCATTCCAAGAAGACAAATGTTTTGTACTTCTCTTGATAACTATGCACATTTGCACTGCTGTTGTTTACTTTTGCAAATAAAATAAGGTATTTTGAGGTCCTTACCTTCCGGCGCTCACATAATCCTTCCTATGTTGCAGAAGAAAGTCTTTGAGCTTGGTGATATTCGTGATCTGCCAAGATAAAGTTGAGAAAAGCCATTAGTGGACTTCATTACATGTGTCCTTTTTTTTAAAAAAAAGTGACACCTCAGTTATTTCCTTTACAACATGAACCATGTCAACATAGCTCAACAAGGACTTTTTAGACGTCTACCAGGAAGCCATTTTCCCTAAATTATATTGAGACGGGGGCAGAGTAAATGAAAAATGTAGTATTTATTGGATGTGACAAGTGACCACATTCTGTCTATCTGTGTGTTTTCTCAATATTTACCCATAGACGATTCATCCAGTCTGCAACATACAAAAATTAAACCTGCAATTTCCTCAGCAAACAGCTCTCATAAATAAAAGTTCATACAGCAAACTGACAGAGCGAACTCTAATAAAATGTTAATTCATGGCGTGGTACTATTTAATGCTAAAAAAAGGTCAAAGTGTTTGTGCGCACAGGAAAGCCAGAGGAAACTTGGTTTAATGCAATATTTGCTCCAAAAATTTGGTCAAATATTAAAAAAGAACAAATTGCTTCCCTGTCCACAGAGTGCTGCTGGCAGAGCACAGGTAGTTGTAAATATGCACACAGCGCCCTCTGTGAGATGCTGTGGATGACAGAGGTGAGACTGAGAAATGACACAACGACTGACTGTGACAGCGACCCCAGACTGTGGGAGATTATTTGGATAGCATAATGATGCTGTCTTCAGCCTTCAGACCTTTCACTCTAACAACCTCAATTATAAAATTTTCTTGGCTGTGAGGAGCAACCTGGCAAACAGCCGTCTAATAACGTCTCTAAACATTCACTCCGCAGCGTCAAACTGACCTGAAGCAGTGGCTTATTTGAGCTGACGCTTGAAAAATGACAATTTCTTCAAACACAGCACAGAGGTGGCAAGACAAACAGGGGCTAGCAATTTGTTAGAGACCCGGCTCTGCTTCTCAGGTTCAGACGGTAACTCAGTGACGCAAGACGCTGCTGTGGGCCACAGGCTAACTGAGGCAAGCTGAGCCTTGTAATAATACAATTATTAGAGGTCAGGAGTTAATCGTTGTTCAGAGCAGTTAAGTTTGAGAAAGGGGAGGGGAGTTCAGGGCAGAAAAATTGCTTTCTTTGGTCAATAGACTTTGAAAACACTAGATGTTGTGTAGCTTCACACTAAAATGACAGCTCTGTAAATCAAACATCTTTTCAGTCCTACTAAAGGCTTTTTAGACCAGACAAAAGACGAGTTGTTGTGAAAATTGCTCAGAATAATAATGCAAGATCAAATAAATATTCAGTGCAGGACAAAGTTTCTGGCTTCATTCAACAATGATTTTCAGCCTTCAAAAGAGTAAGGCCAAATATAAGTGATTCTCTGAAACAAAGCCACATTTTTTAACTGAAAAATTGAAATGTTCTTTGTGTTAACATCTCTTCCCCTTTTCCAGAATAAAGTGTTTATTTTACTTGCCAAAGGTGATGAAGGTAATTCAGACTGTTTTAGTCACATTCACAAATATCGGCATGTCTCTAATGTTATGAAGGTGCTTTAGTGTGTTAAATGTCTAAATTGTTGAAATCAGGTTGGTCAGTTAAAACAAAGAAAGCATTTTCCTTGTTCTTTTGCATAATAGGTAACAGATCTGAGTAAATTACCAAATAATGGATTTAAATTTCCACTGCATTTTCAGAAAGTGAACTTCTATGGAAACAGGGTTAGGATAACTCTTTTATTAATAGAGAAAGAATTACTGATGCACAATTATCACCAGTGCATTCTGTGTAGGCCTTGAACACAGCATATATGACTAATTTATTGCAATTCACATTTTAAACCAGCAGGAAGGGCTATAACCACAGTATTTTACCCTGATGATTTAGAGCTCCAGTGTGAATAAGTGTGTGTGTGTGTGTGTGTAGAGGGGGTAGCAGGGAGCATCCAGAGTGCTGCTCTGGGGGTTGTGCTGTCTCCTGTGTGTATACATTCGGGCTCAGATTCCCAGCTCAACCTCTAGGGTCTGCAGGGGGTCAGGGAGATCAATTGCTCTTGTAACTTAAGACCCTAAAAGAGCAAGTAATTCCTCAACAATGAGGAAGAGGGGTGGCCTTGTGCATGCTCTTTTACTCTATGTATATGGTTTATGTGAGTGTGCATGTGATACTGTGTAGGTTTGTGTGTGCACATGTGTGTGTGTGTATAAGGTACAGCTCCTAGCAAAGGCAGGAGGAGACAGTCTGCCGGGCTACATCTAATCTCGTCATCATCAAAGACCCCCACTTTACCTCCTCACTTTCTCCTTCCCCCTGTTTCCCTGCAGCCCCGACTGAGCCCAAACAAACCATCAGGGGGGATTATTATGAGGAAGAAAAGAGAAAAGGCTTAGCCAGCAGATTTCTTTAAGAGCTTGGATGGCTTTTTGTTTTGTTAAATCCAGGTAACTGACAGCGTGCCATGATGACTGCCCTGCTGTGGTCTTAGTTCTGACCGAGGGCTATTAAAGCTGATGCCACGTTACGTTGTGTTTAGGTACATGGGTCTGTTTCAGTACAGATGGTTGTGCTGCACTTTGTCTTTAATCGTTATGTTCCAAGTCTGTCTATTTATGCTGTCTCAAGTCAGATTGCTTGGACCAGATCTGGAGCACATATCTTAAAACATGACATATTGTGACATGTTGATAATAATTAAATGTAAATTAATATTATTGTTTTTTTTAAATACATCAGTGGCTTGGTACTGTTAATCCAAGACACCAAGTGCAAACACACTAAAGTTCTATAATATTTAAAATATTTCTTCCTGGGCATAATTAGTTCTTAGTGGTATTAAAAAAGTTTTATTAAAAGTTCTAAAACTGTTTGTACACTATATTGACACACACAACAACATTAATCCTGTAGTACTTGACTGCAGCCAGAGATCGAGACATAAAGTTTTTCTTTCTTTCTTTGCTGCTTGCACAACACCCAACAGCCCTGCCAGCAGTGAGATTTAAACTTACAGCTCTCTGATTTATATCCAGATGAATTATAATTCAAACAGATAAAAAAGAAAAGAAAAAAAATTTAAAAAAAAATTGCATATCATTATGAATCAGTGTACATTATCTTAAACTGTTGTCTTTGCCAAGGTACAGTTGTGTTGATTTATTGCATCGGTCCAAAGCTTGATAATAAAAAAAAAGTTTAAGGCGACAAGATTTGAGAAGCAGATTGTTTTGTGTTTTACAGTAACTGTAAAATATAATGTCTAACAGTCATGATTTGAGTTTCAAACAGATTCACAATAGTTTTTTTTGTTCTGATTTTTTTCAGTGGTTCTGTGTTTAAAGAACTATGAAAACACCATCCCTCTGTCGGTGTAGTGAAACACAGAACATGTGTTGGCGGGTCAAGTTCAGACAGACTTAGTAGCAGTTGTTTTCAAAACCAAACAAACACCTATATGTCAATGATTTGCTCACTAAACATAAGTAATGGGTTTCTCCTGTCAGAGGGAAGATGAAGAGTCTACAGGTTACCGACTGAACCATTTCACTGCAGAACAGTGACTCCTGAGGGAGGGCAGCATATAATACTGCTCATACTTCAGCAGCACCGTCTTAAAATTCAATAAAATTTTAAATATATTTTACCATGTCTTATCAAAAACTTCATTAGTAAATCAACTTCAACTACCAAATAAAATCAAAAACTCTACGTTGTGAAAGATACATTTTAAAAAAAAATTATACAGGATTTTGTTGTAGTAATATCTCAACAGTTTTTTTATTCATTTTACTTTATTTTCATTTGACTATGTAATTTGCTCACTAAAATGTCAAAAACTGATTAGTCAAAACATTAAAATTTCAAAGCAAAAATATTTACTCTGATATAAATATAAATATTTGCTCTATTGTCATAGAGCAGGGAATTATACAAACAATATTCACTGCAGAAGCTACAATCACAGAATTTTGTTTAAATTGTGTTAACGCAAAAGCCACTTAAAATGTACATCCACCAGCAAAAGAACTTTACAAAGCTTCAATACTTATTATAAATCAATGTAAATATTGTCAGCATCTAAAACTGTATTTAAAAAAAAAAAAAAAAAAAAGGAAAAACCTCACTAAATATAGAGTGGAAACTGTGAATGTCTAAATGGAGCAATTGACAGAGTCTGCACCACTCAATCCTGACTGAAGACAGAGTGAAACTGTGGACACTGCACCTCTGAGGCAACAAGCACATGGTTTTCGGCTGATTTCTGGTCCTGTCACTGGTTTTGATCCAAGTTGAATAATGACCAGTGAAGTGAGAAGCAAACACAACATAGCGTGCGTGCTGTTGCGAGTTAGTCACTTTAAACGACACCACTACTTGACACATTCAACATCAATCAACGAGACAATATATAATTAATACTCCATGTCTTTTTTCACTTGCATCTTTATTAGAGTGGTGTCTTTTTTAGAGATGGCATCTGTTTTGCATGAGAACACATCTGCTGCAGTTTCATGGTTCAGCCTCTCTGCATTTTGGAGTGTCAGGGTCAAGTATGCAGCTCGCTGTCATCTGTATTTGTAGAATCTCAGTGATTGTAAATAATGAGGATTTGTCCAACAACAAAGTCTTTTTTTTACAGTTCCCCCAGCTGCCGCATTTGTCTCTCTACATGTTTAAGCTGAAATTTACTCTTTTGTTCAATTGTGTTCGACAATACTTTTGTTCTGCCTAAACAATAGTCTACAGAGTATCTGGTGTCTATTTCGTGATTCAGACTTTGACATACATCTGCACATTTGCCTTTCACATTCCTCTTTTCCAATGATCATTTTTAATTTTATAAATCATACAAATAGGCACTGTTGCACGCAGAGAAACCGAACCAAGTGCTTGGCGTCAGGCCTCAAAAAAGAATGCCTCAAAATTAAATTTGCCTGGCTTTCATGGGAAAACAGCTCAGAGATTAGTTCAACTGGTAAAGAGGGCATTTAGCTGCGTGTTCATTTCAGGGTGATCCTCCTCCTTAGCTAAAGTGCCGACTAAATACAGCCTCAGTTTAGACAGCTGCATGTGAGCAATGATTTTGCTTGTGCGTTAATACAGTGTGACCTGAGACATATAAGAGGAAGCTTTATACATCGAGGCAATTATTCAAAAAAAAAAATTTACATTCAGGGCATAATTTAAAATGAACAGACAACATATAGTCTACAAAGACTTCAATTGTATTGTCATTTTAGAAATGTCCTATCAGAGTCAGTATTCATTTGATAAGTCATCATTTACTATATGAACTTGGACTTCCCTTCTTTATATTAAATTTAATTTGGTTTGCTTATCATGAACAAAATTGTACATCCAAAAATTTAAAAAGACAGCTGGTTATAAAGCAAGTATTCATAGGGAAGTATCTGCAAGGATATGAGGATCTGAATTAAAAAAACTGTAACACTGATGCCTAAGTTGTAATTTAATTATTTAAAAGACATCGTTCGGTTAAGACAACCGTATTTCACAGCAACCTCATAGTTTTTCCAGTTTACCTCATTAGTTTAGTTGGCATTAGTTATTCATATTTTTATTTGCTGACAACTTAGAAATCATTTTCAATATTAAATAATATTTTTTAATTAACAAAGGGTCTAAAACATTTTTCGAAACAATAACATCAGCAGCACTGCAAAGTCCATGAGAACGGACATGTTCATATTTAGTAACATCTGAAACCTTAGCTGCCTTTCCTAAAAAAAACTAAAATAGAGAATAGGGGAATTTCAAGATATTTTAAACATTTTTAAGAATCCGTGAGCCAACTACTCCAGGGTGAAAGAGCAGCTCCCTCAACAAAAACACAACATACTTTACAGTGCCCACTGACACTTTTCATGACTTATGAGAAAACGCTGTGAGAAGTAGTCAATTTTGTAGCAGCAACACCAAAAGCACAGTGGGTATCTCAGCGCTGGTCTCTACACACCATTTAACAATTTTAGAATGACCTCTTCATTTGAACTTGAGAAGGGTAGCATACTGCATAGAGAGACCAAGTGGTGAAATGGAGATCACAGTGCCCCAAACCGACCCCAATGAGGTAAAAGATTCCCCCGACCAAACCCAACCCTATAAACACTGGCCCTCTTATTAGTCAATCAAGCCTCTTTTTTTGGTATTGCCTTGAAAGAAGCTACATTTCCTTTCTCATGGCACGACTTTTTAAATGGAAAAAAAAAATCCTCACAGGACCACTGTATATTTGTCAACTTCGATGTTTTCTTTCTAAATTTGTGAAGCTTCAGTGGGAACTTGGAGAGCGCTGCATGCATAGAAAGGCACTCACATCTGTTGCGCATTAGGTGCCGGCCGTCAACATTGTTACTGTGGACCTAATTTAATATTTTCTTTGTTTTGATCTTCCACCTTTAATCACTGGCTCTTGGGAAGATCGACTTTCCCCGAGAAATTGCTCGAGAGCCGAAAGAAAATGTTATTGCAGCATGTTTATGGAATCATACATGTAAAGAGGGGACTTTCACAAAAAATGCTGCCTATGTCTCGCTGAGCTGATGGAGATGAGGGCCAAAACCACGACATAACTGTAGGCAGTCGGGACATTCCGAACTTGCAATTTCAATTTCTATAAACGCTGCATTGCCAGCCAGTTTGAGATAATATCTACAGTGAAAGGCATACAGCAGGGGGGGATAGTTTTTTGAATGAATAGTGCTTTTATTAAACCAACTGTTCTACCATCAATATAACCAAAAGAAACAAAAAGCTGATCTGCTGATCTCTGAGATTGGAATGATGGTTTAAGACATCAGGTAAAATCTAAACAACTCCAGACAACCGTAAACCTGAATTTGTTTTTAAAGTTTTTAAAGAGTTTGAATTGCCAAGACATTCATGTTAAGGGCAAGAAAGTAATACTGAAATAAGGAGAAGGCTTCTTTGTCAGTGATCAACCTTTTAACTGCCAATCACTGATTATGCTTTGTAAAGTTCCCTGCACTAATGAATTGCCAAAATTGTCTTTTCTTTTTCTTTTTATATTTTATAGAAATGTCCTAAGATGATAATTCAGAGGAGCACTGAAATAATTGCATTTTTAGTTTTAAACTAAAAGTCACAAACTGACACTGTCATACTTCAAGCAAACCAGTTATAATCAATGCCAATTTCATATTGATGCAACTGCAAAAAAATGAAAAATGAGTGCTCTGTCAGCAAGTTAGCTGGAATTTTTTTTTATAACAGATAAAAAAAATCTGTTAAAAACAAAGTAATTCAGTCGTTGATCTTCTACAGTATGGGTAGTTTGGCATTCTATTACAGGAAGATATTAAGAAACAACAACTATTTTCACTCAAACTCATATCTATGACCAACTTGGAGCGAACAATCTTCTTGCTTTATAGCAAGAGCGCTAAACCGCCGTCTTTCCCTGCCTATATTCAAATATAAACATACATCATGTCTGTTTGCTGAAACAAAACAAAGCTATTTTAATTCATGATTTATTGTTGTGTGTGATCTTGTGTGTGTTCTTTACAAATACACAAAGTTGGACAACAATTAGGTTAGAATGGGATTATTGTTTGGATTCAACACCCCCAGAAAAATGAAATGACTTGAACTAACTAGAGACTTCTATTTGGAATAGGAGGCTGGGAGGTTAACATGATGAAATTACTTTTAAATGTATGCTCCCCAGCCTATGAAAGGTTTCCTGACGATTTCTGGAGTTTATAAAAGCAGCTTATATCAACCTTTGAGATGTAAAGGTCATCATCAACACGGGCCAGCAGTATGAAGTAAAAATGACTACATGCAGGGCACAAGTAGCATATGACTAAAGAGGGACAGTTTGATTGATTACATGAACACATTCTTTTGTTGACACTATTGATAAATTGCTAAACATGGTAGTTACTATTTCTAATTAGCCATAAACAACAATAACATCTGTGTCATGGTTATCTTGCAGGTTGTTTAAAATTACTTGCGGGCTACATCCAGCCTTGAGCTTGACACATGTGCTTTTTAAATTTGTTTCTTTTAAAACTACCTCTTATTTTAGTTAACTGCGACTAACGTTTTAAAATACTACGACGGTATGTTTAAGCACAACGTAAAAGCAGCTCTGTATGGATCTGCCATTATAGGTAGTACATAGGTGAAGTCATAGAGACGTGACTGTGTTAAGAAAAGCTAAATGTGTTAGCAAAAGCTAACTGCATTTAGGCAAAAGAAAAAGGAAAACAACTCACCACTTCTTTCGCTCTCGGTGAGAAGCCGTTCTTCGGTCTGTTCCGCTTAAAAATGTCATCTTTAGTTGAGTCAAAGCCTATTCCTATCGCCTTGTTTCTTGTTTTTACCGTCTTGACGCTAGCTTTAAACAGCAGCGTTATATCCACCGCCATGTCTGCAGCGCTGTAAACAAACTGACACGTCATCAAGAACCAACGTCAGCAGCCTGCGACACTTAGAGATGGGAAGGAAACGGAAATCCTTAACGGTTACCTTAAGGCATTAAAAAAAAATATTAATAATAATAATAACTATTATTATTATTATTATTGTTGTTGTTGTTGTTGTTATTATTATCATTATTATTGTTGTATAATGAAAAAATATATAAAGAATTTGTTAGGAGTTTGCAATGTTAAGCATTGCTTATTCATAAACACATTTTTGCACATGTAATCCACATGTAACTTTGTTTATATGGCCATAAAACAAACCAATTTTCAGTATTTTATTGGGCGTACTTAACTTTATTTTATTACACAAGTTACATTTATAACTTCCCTTAATTTTTTTTTTTTTTTTTGCACAGCAGTATTGTAATAATCCTTTATTTTATTATTTTCTGTTTATTTAAACATGTCTCTTGTCTCCTCCTGGCTCAATTAATGTAGGAGAAGAAAGTAGGAAAGCAGAGTAGCCAGAGAACACCAACATACACACTGTGTTATATATAGAACAAAGTTTTTACAGGAACACCAAGTGCAAACGTACAACCTGTAAATGTTTAACATATTAACACATGTTTTATATAATAAACATGTTGTTAAAAACCAAACCGAGTTGTTTCTGTGCATCTAAATCCACAGTTATGTGTCGACTAGACAACCTTACTTATTTGTATATAATATTTCTCATAAAACGATGTATTTGTAAGTCTCTGGAGTTGGCAGTAGTTTAAGCTGTGGAGCCGAGAGTGTTGAATAAGTCTGTTATTTGCAATGTGGTTTGCTCATTTCCTTTGTTAGTGTTGAGGCAGACTGTGGTACAGCAGTATACTGTGACCGTTTCTCCTTTTCTGCCTCCTCAGCATGAACCTAAAGACCAAAATTAAAAGTACTAGCTAAGTTTTGCACACGTTCTTACAGACATGATATCATTTTTAATGTATTATTTATATGAGCTACAATTGATTGGATGATGATAATATTAATAATAATAATAATACCTCACCATTTTATCACTGACCAGCCTAACATGCTTCTCTGCCACTCATAAGTGACCTATAAGTCTCTCCTGAGATTTTGTTATATAGTCAATCTTCTTTGAAAGCAGATTTCTGTAAAAGTGCTCACCCAGACCAGCATACATCCTTCATTTAATCACAGAACTGATATCATTGCAAGACTAAAAGACGGTTCCTTCTGTCAATTGTCATCACAGTTATTCAAAGTAACAAAGGTGTGGATAATTTTCAGTTGTTTAACTTCAACTGTTATTTAAATGAATATTATCTTGTGTTTTCATTTTCATAAAAATGTACAAACCTACCAATTAAAGTCCATTATAATTGTATTGTAAAAAAAACAATTGAGTAAATAAATGGCGAAATTAAAGGGAAATTATTGCTTCTAAGACGTAGACATGGAATAAATATTGACCGAGCACTTATGAACTGTAATTATCATAAGTAGATGTTCACACCTGGTATCTCGTATCCTGGATACACAGCACAAAATGGGCTTTACATGCCCCATATTCAAATACACATGTCCTGTTTGTGCTCCATTCTTGCCACCTGTTTGATTAAACATACAACAAAGATATCAGCCACTAACAATGTTAACAATGGCCACACTGCAGGTAACCAGATGTTGTTTTGTGTTTTTTACCCATTTATATATATATATATATATATATATGTATATATATGTGTGTGTGTGTGTGTGTATGTATATATGCAGACAATGTTGCGACACTAAAGACAGGCTGTCAGAATAAATAATAATAATAAATTCCTCAAGAACAACATGTGGCACATTTGTCTAAATTATTTTGTTGTGTTACATATTTGTGTTGTCTTACTTAATTGTGTATGTGTTTTCTTAGGCCTTGGTGCGTTCCGCACCCTTTGGCCATCGTACATTCCTAGATGCTATCTTCTTTTCGATGAAGCGTCACTGATGCTATCCATTCCTCCTGTCTGTGACAGATGAGCCATGTATTTGAGCATGCTCTGGGCAGTCCACTTAACTTTTTGAAAAGAAGCCCCTTAATCTCCACTTTCTCTTTGTTTGGACCATTATCAGACCTGTCATTCCTGGCTGCTTTATCTTCATAGGACTCATCCAGTGGCTGTTTGACGTTGGCTTAATTCAATCAAAGAGCTTTATCTCTGGTTTGCCTCAGGATGCATCCTTCCTCCCTTCACTGATAAGAAATTCACTTATTAGGGTGAATTAGACACTTAAGTGAATTTGCTTTTTATGCAGGTCTCAGCTGAGTTTGGCTTCATGGCTCCTTGGTGTTGAGTTCATTGGTGTGTGTTTTAGGCTGGAAATTAAGTGGGATGTGTGTGCCTCAGATTTTGGCTGATCAGGCACCAATATCCAGTTATCTATTGCAGCCAAGTGTATATTCCAGCAGCAGACATTTGAAGCAGTCTGGAGGAATGTAATGCATTTTCATGATATGCAATTAAACTTTCTTTGAGGGGCTCCACCCTGCAAGTTTAGAAATAAGAGGTCTAGAAGTCTTTCTTAGCACCACTTGAAAATATCACACCAATATTATACTTAAATACTAAAATAAACTACAAAGTTTATTTAGTGACATCATTACATTACATTAAGGCAGAGAACAGAAATAAAGTTGATTAACACTATCAATATAATGTAATTTCCCAGTTTGGGATCAATTAAATATATATCTATCGCTATGTATTATGTATATAATGATGTAGTATCTGAGTATTTGTTTTTCAGCACAGACTCCACAGATGATGGGCTTTATTATATTGTGTGGATAAATAAAAGATTGTTTGGGATAATTTCTAACCCCGCTAAATTCAGTGTGACACTGTGGGAAAGTGAGACGCCGTGGTGAAGATTTTTATTGTCTGTGAAGTCTATAAAGCTTTTTTCTGACACGCGGTGAGAACAGAGCAAGGGCCAAGAACAAGGTAACTGTGTTTGCTGCCAAAACACATGTTAAAGCAGCCATTGTTCTGGCTACAGAACACTCATGTTGTCTGATAGCTTCAATTCTTGGTTCTACCAACACAACCAATTACAGTCAAATGTGTTGTGTGTAATATAGGCTGACCATGAGTGTGTAAACAACCAGCGTTTTGTGTGAACTGTGAAGTGTATGTCGGCGTGTGCGTTACATCCTGTTAAGACAAAGAGGTCACGAGTGTGATCTGACCTCATGTGGCCCATGTTTAATAAAAGTGTTTGTACCTGTCATTAAAGTACGTCCTGGAAGAAATCTTGTGCTGTTAGACTTCCCCACCTTCTAGTCAAACACAAAAACTGTTACATCTGTTTCAGTCGTCTTAATTATCTTGTTTGTCTGTTTGGACGTTTTTCAAGGGAATATTTATTTACTGCATGTTACGTAATAAACAGAGTGTAATACTCTTGTCCATTTGTTAGGTGTTTCATATTCTCTACCCTGTTCTTCTACTGTTACCGGTTACATTGGCAGCTTTGGGTTGCTTCTGGTGCCTCGACCAAGTCCTGTGACACATTATGTTTGACTGACCCCATTAAATAAATATGGCTTATGATTATTATTAATCATCCTTAAAATCCAGTTATCTAATTTTTAAGTATAGAGGCAAAAACCATTCACACTCACACACACACACACACTTCTTCCACTGTGTGGCCACAACTATTCATTGTGCATTTGGCCCTAGGCCCCTTCTAAAGTCTGACCCTCACTATCCACAAGTAATCATATCACACTGATGCTTTTTGACCCTGGTAAAAAAATTGTTGTGTGTTTTTTTTTTAAACCCACTGTATTAGTGCAGAGAATACTTCTCAGATGGTATCACATTTTAAGCTGTCTAATAACCATAATCAATCTTTCTCTTATGGATCATAACTGTTGCCTGTAAAGACACGGACATGCAAGTTTTCCTGGAAAAGTTATGTTGGAAATTACATACAGGTTTGTAACTTGGGCCAACAGTAAAGTTATCCATAGGTGAAGTGGAAACGCTTTACTCACAAATTGGATTTTCCATAATGCAGTCACAGTTAGCATCTCTTAACTCTATTTACATTATTAAAAGCACTGCCCATTACTAACAGGCTTCAGGCACATTGTGTCCGCTCCAAGAATTAAACTAAATTTATGTGTTTTATTTTGTTGGCATTCTACACAAACAGGGAACCTTCTGGAGTAAATAAAGCAAAGATACAAGGCAAATTACAACTTACCCACTTATGTTTTGTTCGTCTTGTCACCACAACCATAAATAAGACAGTTATTGAAGAAACTACTTTGTGGACACTGAGTGACTGGATGGTGGCCATGGCTGTTCTCATTTGCTGTTCCTTGTATTGTTTATACTTGGACGGACAAAGTCTCTTGGACCTTTATTAGCATCATTTTGAAGGTTGTTTTACACAGCCTGTGGATATGGGAGTTTCAAACATGATATAATCATGCCATGCTAAGATAGTCCAGATTTGAACATTTTGGATATGGTTGACTTCATCATTTTCCACAATGGTCTTCTGAAACGGACAGCAATTGCCCCCGCAATGAAAGGAGATCCTCTTTGTAATTAAAGTCAGTAGAAAATTGGATCATTTCTTGCTTGGACAGCTTTCACATTCCATCCTAATATGGCACTGGACTCTTTTGAAGTTGCTGTCCTGGCAGTCCCAAATTATACCTTTCATCAGCCAATCATACCAAAATGGTAACCTGACGTTCCCCCTCACAACTTGCTTTTGAGCTGTATTCATGTAATCACGGAGGAGTGGTGATGAGGAGTGATACCCACGGACAAATCAATGATGAATGCTGGAGGTTTTTAGTAGGTTTTATTTTCAAACTTAGAGTCAAATATTCAATGCATTCGAATTATTTTTCCTTCTACTGTTTTATTTTTATTTTCCACAATCTTACAATCTATGTAATAATGTAATGATTATCACTATATTATTATTAGTCGTTTGATTTGATTGA